CGACGGCGAAAGGGACGCGCAGGTAAAACTGCTTCTTCTTTATGCTCTCTTCTCTCGCGAGGGCAACGAGGTCGGAGCTTGTTTACGCCGCGCCAGCCAGCCAGACTGTATCCAGCGAGTAGATTATATACATGGCGCGAATTACGTTTAGTGTCTTGGAGCGTGGTATTTTTTAACAAAATTGAACCTCTTCTAACTCGCGAAAGGATTATCTAAATGACTCCAAAAAAAGACCTTTTTTAGTATCGCTGTACTTCCACTGAAAATTCATTGACAGAACAAGCAAACGATTGTTGGTTTTACATTATATAATCAATACGACAATCTTAGACTAGAGAATGGAAAAATCACGAGCTACTCTGACTCAGAGAATAACAACATCATAATCAGATATGCATTATGCACCAAGGCGCGCATACGAGTATGTTGCAAATCAATGAATGAAGCATTGATAAACGCCTCGATTGCTCAGTTGCTAAGTGCAATCACGTATGTATATTGAGTACAATGAAAAAAAAACCGCCAATGGCAAATTCTGATGCGAGAATATCGTTATTGATGCAGATAAAGTACGCTGCTATGCTAATGTGTATATCTTCGGTTTTATTTCGCTCGTTCCAGAGAGAGAGAAAAAAACCGCACGCTCTACTTCCATTTATTATTCCCATATTTTTATTTACACGATTAAACTGGGAAAAGTCGAAGATTCGTGCTGTAATACAGTGCAATGATCGTGCACAGAAGAAGTGCACACAAGCGGAGACTCGGCGTGGAAATAACACTGAAAACCACGAGAGAAATTAGTACGAGAGGAGAAGGAGGAGGAGGATGAGGGGGAAAAGAAGAAAAAAAAAAGCTGAACTGCACACGCTCGACTCGGAGCGAGGCAAGCAAGTATGAGCCACTCGCTGAGCAACGAAAAATGAGACACTCCGAGCAATGAGAATGGCTATGTATGTATGTGTGCGCAGATCTGCTCGTCGTTCAGTTTTGTGCCATGCGAATTTTTGTCGTCTCTCGTGTTCCTCGTGCATTGTGTGCTGATACTGCTGCTACTGCAAGCGCACGATATGCACAAAGCTCGTGTTGTACGTCTGCATAGGCGTCTACATAAACGTGTGCCGCTTTTTTCCTCCTGTTCATCTTTGATAAATTTACCGGCAAACAGGACGAGTTTATATAAGATGTTTATATGCTGATGGTTACGAGCTCAGACCTGTCTCGCCCAGACGTTGGCGAATTTATTATTTTTCCTCGTTTAATTTGCCTCGAATCGCAGGTAGAGAAAGCGAGACGAGACGTTTTTTTTTCTCGAGCAAGAAGAAATAAAATGATAAATAAAAAATGGGAAAAACTTTCGAGTTGATGTTTACCGGTTTTTTATACGGGAAAATATTAACTGCGAAACGGCAGTCGAGATAAGTCACTTCATTGTTTTGGTGGTAGGTTTTTTTAGTCTGCTCGAAAACGTGTTTTACGCTGTACAAGCAAAAATAAGCGTGGTAGAAAATGTGATGGCATTTTAGGATTTTTTCTACGGAAAAACAACGTCTAGGACAATAATCTTACAATTGCAATTCTCGAGAGAGAGAGAGAAAGCTCGTATACATAGTGTACGTGTATTCGAAAAGAAGGAAGCTCGATTTCGATGTGGCCAAGCGTAATGGCCATCCAACGACAAAAATGCAAATTCCTGCAGGAACGAAGGAGAGAAAAAAGGCCAGCAGCAGCAGCAGCAGCGACGAGTCGAGTCGAGAAAAGTCAATATTACACGCGCGAAAGGACACACGGGCAAATCAGCTTGGGAATAGCTGATCGATAAAAACGAGCCAACGACAGAGACGTAAAACGACCACGATTGTGTTGGTCTATTCTAGGGAGTGTGTGCGAGCAGGTGTGCGTAGCCTCCTATGTGTGTTTAGCATTTTTTAATAGCTCGCGAGCCTTTTATCGCTCGGAGAACATCTCGTTCTCTCCCTCTCGCTTATGTGATTCCGATTCGATCGCGTCGATAATACGGAAAACAATGAGTCCCGCTATTGTGCAATAATCGTAATGTGGACCATATTATGATTCAAAGCTGCTGCTATATCGCCTTTATTATTATGAAATGCACCCGATCGATGAATGTATCCTTTGATAGCAGCCGTTGCAACTGTGTATATTATATCGCGCGTGGAAAATTAGTGCGCTCGCGTATTACGCGTATTACGTTAACCTGACCATTCAGCATAATCGTACATCAACATTTTTTCCATAATTTTTATTTCCGACGAATAAATCCCAATAAACCGTGCGTTTACGCATACACACTGGGTAAAAAGTCATGTCTCCCTCCTCCGTATCCATCGATTGTACGACAAAGCCATTCCAGCAAATTGAAATCGATTCTGCGGCATGAGTAGCAGTTCAGCTCATTTCTTTACAGCGAAAAATAAAGTCCATCCCGGAAATTCAATTGGAAAATAATGCATCTTGCTGGCGTTCATCTGCCGTGTTAGTTGTTGTTTTTTCTCTCGCTCGGCGAGACCAACATTTATTACTATTGCTGCTGCTGCCGGGCACCGGTGACAATAAATTGCCTTTGGGCATCGCGCGTAAGCCTTCGTAAATATCGCAAGCTTCACAATGTGGATCCGTACACCCACACACGTTCCATGTATATATGTGTACATGCACACGTAATGCACACACGAGCACGCAGAGGAGCAGCAGATAAATATAGCGAAAATAGCTCTCGTGCTCTCGCGAAATCGGTATAATCCAGGTCGAGGAGTGGCAAAAAAAATTCCTATACGCTCGTGGGCTCTAAAAGAAATAGACGCTAATCGATTGAGACCATATTTTTATCGGATTCATAGTGGCTGTGCAGCCACTGGCCTAACCATCCAAGATTTATGACCATAGCCTATACGAATGGGGGGAAAAAAGAAAAAAAAACTGAAAAGGAAAAGACGTTTTTGGCAAACTTCCGCCGATACCTTCCGCGAATGGCTATTGTACCCATTGAAATGTCTCATTTAAGTGACTCCCGAGCTGCAGCAGCGCATACATATGCATATTTTTCTCCATTCTCGAAGCGTACGTTATTAGAGAGAAGAAAAAACTGCGTCTTTATTCAAGAATCTTTTCTCGTTTACAATTGTCATTTATCATCGTTTCGCGTTTCCATGGCCAAGAAGCAAGATCGAGGCCAATTTATCGATGGCAAACAAAAAGAGGGAGATTGAGCGGAGGCAAGAAGCGGGCTTACAGATGTTACCTGAGCGACTGCAGGAGCTAGCTGGAGGAAAACGGAGTCGATCAGAGGCGGAAAACAACTACCGAATCGAGCGAGTCAAAAGTTGACGTTTTCTCTCTCTCTCTATGCGTTCGGTAGGATATTCTTCTTCTTGTTTTTTTCGTTCTTTTTTGTTGTTTGCCGTGCACGTATTATTCGCTCGCATATCGGCGTCATACAGCGAGTACAACATCGTCGACGTAAAATTGCGCAGGACGCGTAGCTATACAAAGTACAGCGAGGGCATGTTACGCTTTGGAAAACAAAATAAAAACGCTTGCGCGGACGGGAGTTGAAAAAACAAGGAGTCGCATTGTGCAGTACATACATCATCGGTTAAGACCGGAGGCGTACGTACGCTAAACTTTCCTTTCCAGCTCTTTCCTTCTTCTTTTTCTTTTATTTTTATCATTTCTCTCTTTTTAGCTGTAGCAAAAAATGAAAAGTTTATCGATAATCTCGTACGCGCGCGCGTACATATATGCTGGAACACGGTCCCAGTGGCATTTCGTTCCCCCCGCATCGCTCCGAGTATTTCCATTTTACAACTGATTTAACGCAGGCGTGCACGCATTATATTATACAGGCACTGGAACGTTAGCTCTCGAGACCACTTCTCAGTTCAGTCCGGTATCTTTTTAATGTGCCGACTTGAACGCGTGTAAGTACAAGTATGTAAGTATACGAATGTTTGTCAGCGACTCGGAAGACACGGCCATTAATAAAATGTGCTGTTTACTTTTCGTTCAATAACTGCGGATGGAAAAAGCAGCGAGGCAGGCTAAGAAGGGTACATTTATTTATCGAGTCGTCTGCTATCGAGAGCATACAAAATATAATATTATGTCGCGATAACTTTGTCTCGACGGATCGGTCGGCGAGCGACGAATGATTTCGTCCAATGACAAATGTATCGGAGACACGTATTATACGGCTCGCGGTATGTTATCAGAGGCCGGCTCTCTTCCGACTTGCCGCAGCTCGTCCCCGGATACACTTGAGACAGCTCAGCGCGAAAAAAGAAGCTGTACTGTGACGACGGCTTCTCGTCGCGTGAGTCCGATCCGGCCAGCGACTTCCCATGATGCAAGTGCTTGTGCCTATACACATACACAAGATACGCGAGAAGATCTGTTTGGCGACGCTGCAATATCAAAGCGGATGAGAGAGAGAGAGAGAAATGATCGGCGGCGTATCGAGTAGTGCTGTCAGTGATTGGCGCGTATAATAGACAGCGCAAGAGCGCGAGCTATCAGCAATGCTGTCACGGCGAGTGCGGGACGGTGGCAGTCGAGCAGGCAGCGGCGCGATCTCGAATGCCAAGGGGAAAAGATATCAGCGGACGGGACACGGGGGATCGAGCTACGCGTGCTGCGGTCTAGCTCTCGCATACGAACAGCACATAGGCACGGTCGTCGATACAGAAGACGAAGCTGGGGAGCCGAGGGAAAGGGAGTCGAGCGTCCCTTTTTCAGCGCACAGCTTGCATTGTATGGAGCGTATGGCATGTATACGCACACGTTACAACTGCGCGCGTATCGTACGCACGCCACCCACGCGCTCGTCGATCCCAGTGCAGTCTCTCGTGGATGCTGCTATGCGAGGATGGGCCGGAGAGCCTTGCCCGCAACTTGCAAGGAGAATCGACGCCTTAATGGGCGCGCAGTATCTTGCCTGTTAATATACAAGAGAGAGAGATGTATAAGCGAGAAAAACTCACCGGTCGTAAGAAGGAGGAAGAAAAGGAGCAGGGAAGCCAGCGAGCAGAGATTCTGCAGTCGAGCTGCTGCCGCTGCTACTTTTACTCGGCGCTCCATCCTCGAGTTGCTGCTTTTGCTTGTTCCTTTTCTGCTGCTGCTGCTGCTGCTTTGCTCACAACAACGTAGGCGCGCACACACCAGTCTCGCGATTCTCGGCGTGTTTTTTCTCTCTTTGCCTGGGCTCGCTTGTTGTTGTTGTTGTATTTGTGTATCGCGGGCTTGCAGAGAGCCGCTCACAAAATTATGCTTGCACACTCGCGCACAGACACACTCACGTGCACACACACTCACACACGTACGATGAGTGCACCGTCACACTTGCACAGAGCACTGTATTAAATGTCGCGAGCGACAACTGCACACGGCATCACGTACACTTACAGAAAGAGAGAGAGACGCACTCGGGACTACACTGAGAGCTGCACTAGGTATATTATATATTATGCGTAAATTTTTGCTGTTGTTTTTCGTACGTCCAGGAGAGATTCACACTGGTTGTGTGTGTGTGTGTGTGTGTGCAAGCGGGCCGATCAGTCAGGGTGATCTTAATAGATATGCCAAGACGATCGATCTAAGAGTAAGACGAGCCGCTGCCGAGCGTCGGGACGAGAAGCTGGCCGCATCGAGCGAGAAAGGATTCATCGTTGTCGTGGCCGACCGCTGCTCCACGAGACGTCGCGCTCAACATGCTGAAAATCGCCAAGATATCTATCTTTCTATAGAACGAAATATGCAGCTGCGTGCAGAGCCAAGTGCTGTCCAAGTTGTAGCGCAGCAGCTCGAGAGATTAAAGAGTAGAAGGACGGAGGCTCGTCGTTCTCGCTGCTCTCTCCCGAGCGCGAATCTTCTGCTCGCTCTGACCTTTCTGCATCTCGTTCATTTTCTCTCGTCCCTGAACGAGAGCGGCCCAAGTAGTGGCTATAGGCAGTCGGCAGTGGGCTTGCGACGTCGTTCTCGCAGCGTAACAATATATATATGTATCTGCTGTGCAGCACGCACACACGCACCAGAGAGACGAAAGTCAAAGTCGCTGTCTACGAATTTGAATATCGAGAGCACTGAACACTCGGCGCAGCAGCTGATGACACGCGTTCATCAACAATCAGCATGGGAAGAGTATATAGCGGTGCATGAATCTACGCACATTTACACGTGCGTGTGTAGAGTATCTCGCTGTGGAGTCGTATTATATATTATTTGCGCTATATGTAAGTAAGTGTGTGTCGGTGTGTCGTGGGGGGCCGATCGATGCGTACGGAATGGCTCGTAGCCGAGTACTGGTGCGCGAGCTGCTTTCGGAGCGCCGCGTTTACGGATTTTGGCGCTGCGAGCAGGCGCGCGCCGCTCGCTCACACATACATATAACAAGTCGCACCAACACACCGACTAGACATATACCACCACCACTACGTCGATCCACCCGTACATACACATATACGTATCACATACTCGTGCAGGCAGACTGTAGCAGTGCCCAAGCTGCTTATTCTCTCTCTCTCTTTCGCGCTGCTATATACCGCTGGTGGTGGCGGCACCGCCAAGGAGATCTCTGCGTCTGTATGTGTGTAGCTATATACTAGGCGCACTACTATAAAGACGGAGCTCACGGACGTGCGCAGGCAGCGAGAGAGGAGAGAGTATTGACCGGCTGCTGCTGCCTTAAACGCCGCACCGCCGCCGCCACCGCCACCGACTCGACGACGGCGCTCCTGTTCTGCTCTACCTATACATACGCATGTATGTACGTAGGTGTATTAGCCACCCCCGCGCACCCCTCGCTTGGCAGCTGCACTGCCTACGCGTAGTGCAGTGCGCTGAATTATCGCGAGTGTCGGACGCGCGACTTCTCTCGCACTTGCGACTTCTCTCCTTACATCCGACGAAATAAATTACGTCCTCGTTTGTTCCTCCGAGGCCTCGCTACTTCTCGCATCGTCGGGCATATGCTTACCGGCTCGCGGGGGAGGGCGAGTCGTCATCGAGTCCGACTGCAGCTCAACCCCTCGTTCATTCATCGTTCGAATGATCGTGCGATTGGTGCTGATCGCCGGCATCTTCGAGTATACCTCGACGCAAGCTCGGCTCTGCCGTAGCCGTGTAATCAGCGGCTCCACCCACACTACCTCGCGAGCTTTGCCCTATTATACACCTGCAGTATATAATATAGGCGTTGTACGCGTCTAGCTGGAACGGCCGCGTGAATTGAATTTTCATTAGTCGAAGCAGCGCGATACCGAGAAGTGTACATTTTATATTATATTCCGCCGGTTCTCCATTCTCGCGACTCCACGCCGCGGTTTAATCGACTCCGAGTTGGTCTTTTTTTTTTCTTCGTGCTATTCGAAATAATCCGACCCTTATGATATGTGCAACTGCATATTCATATGATATAAAACGCCAAGGCTAAAACATGTCCTCGAGCTTTTGCCGAAAATTTACGTGCAGTCGAATTCGTGTGGACTTCCTCGAGCGCAAAACGTGAATAAAATCGTTGATATTGCTTGAATCGACGCTCGCCCGATCGACCAGAGATATCTCGCAGTCGTCGCTGCACGTTCGATGACTCTTGGAGACACGACCGTGCGCCGTGTCTTGGCTGACTAATAAAACCCAACTGTACATCAAACCCATATGACGAGCGCAGCCGCGTGACTTTTTTCATGGCTTTGAGAACTCGAAATTTGCAGCGAGAAGCTCGACTCGCTCCACGATCTCGCGGCCCAAGAGGAAAAAGAACGAGCGAGAGAGAAGATGTTAGCAGCAGAGACGCTTGTATATATATAAAAAAAGTGTCAATTCCAGACCACCCTCGACGTATACGAAACGCACATACTTACTCGAGACGGAAAAAAAATCGAGTAATCGAGTACGCTGCAGAGCCCACGCGCGTAATGAGTTTTTCCTCGTACACATGTCCCGAGGAACGGCGTCGCCCCGACTCTTTTATACATTATTACATGTACAGACGTTATTATTTTATGCGCGTAAAACTTACGCTGCGGCTGATCCGTGTGATAATCGAGTTTCGGCCCAGCCAGACCTGATATATATGTATGTTTGCTAAATAACGTCGTCGCTGTTGACTCTGACCGAAACTTATTTGGTCGTGGTAACTTTTGCTATTAAATACGTGCTTATATTTGTTCAAACAATTGCATATGCGTGACATTCGCGATCGTCTCGGTGTAAATATGTCGCGTCCTCAACGAACGACCACAACAGAATACGCAAAGCTCACGCAACGCTAACGTCGATTTCGACAGATCTGCATCCTTTTCTAATCCCATAATTGTACAGTGTTTCGATATTCAAAAAACAAAGATACCTCTCGATGGCCGATACTTATAGTAAATAGGAAAATTTTGAGTGCTCATTTACATGGTGCATTATTTCAAAAGTGTGATATTTGGAGTGGGTAAAATGGGCAATATTGGAAAAATTGAAAAACTTATTTTCTTCTATTTTGAGTTTAATTTTTCCGGACCCCCGTAGTTTTTGACACTTGATTCTTTGTTTTTTCATGGAATATTCACTTTTTACCGGCCATCATCTAATCCGTTTATTTTCTTATTCCAAACATGAAAATTTGTCACGGAGGGGACACTTACGGAGGGGACAAATCGCACTTTCATCAAATTTCACGACGACAACAAAGTTGAAAATTTTTTTTCCGATCACGCACAAAAATTGTTTGTAAAGACGAACGTTTTTACGCCACCAGATTCAAAAATAAAAAGTGCTAGCTCAAAAACTCGTCGATCACGGAGGGGACACTTTATTTTACTAGTACGATTTTCGTGTGCAAGTATTGTTATAGCGAAGCTGCAACTAAGATTTGAATATTCTATGGGTAAAAATCGAGTACCTTAGTTCTGAAAGATGACCCTCGTATAGTTAGAGAGGTCAAAATTATTGTCTAGCACGTTTACTGGCACTATATTTGTAATGATGGAAAATTTCACATAATTTAAGGACACATTTGTAACTTATGTACAATTGTTTTGAGACTATTTAACATGACGAGTCATACAAAAAAACTTTCTTTAGGATGTATAGAATAAGGCCCATGTATCACAATATTGCTGGATACTTGTAAAAATATTTTTAATGAGTGAAAACAATCGATTCTGAGTTCAGGACAGGTCACGGAGGGGACATTTGGTGTGTTTATCCGGCTGGCAAATCGATGTGGTCTTTTTTTATGGAAATTTTATAGTTGCGGAAGGTAAAATTCGGTAAAATGAAAGGTTCTACCGTCTTAGTTTTCATTTTTTCAAAGTTTTCTAATAGCTACAATAACAAGACATGTCATATCACGCTTTTGAAATAATGCACCACATACGCTCTTATGAATGGTTTAAATATCCGAATTATCGTTCGTTTCTGTGTGACATACTCATCGACAAAATTAAAAAAAAAAAAAGAAAAAGAAAACGTTCGTTAAGCCATCTCGCCTCGGTAAAATCGTGTCCGCTTGAGTCGCCGGCCGCTTCCGGTTAGCGTAAAACCATAATTACGTAAGCAAACAGTCGCCCCATACATGCTGCAAGAACATCCCGCACATTGTACGCTAAAATCTGACGTTTTAAGCCGGCTCCGAGTGGCGACAGGCGACGATGATGAATCATCGCCCGACTGCACTGCTGCTGCTCCATTGCACATGTACTCTGGAAAAAGTCTGGCGAACACACATTGTCGCATATACATAAGGTTGGAAGCCGCCGCATCCTGAGGCTATTTCGTTCATGCGACAAAGTGGGAAGCGCGACATAAAGCGACTTGTACCGAACGAGCCTCTCACACGCCTGTGTAAGCACGAAAAATAAATGTGTCCTCGCGCGTTCGATATAAACTGGCTTTCGTTGCGACGATAAGAGAGTCGCGAGCCGAGTCGCAAATTTAGCGATATCGTATGTAAAAATAACGCGAGCCGATTCTCCGAAAGTCAAGATGCGTCAAAGCTTTTGCCTCTTCTTGTTCTGTTTTTTTTTCTTTTTTTTCGTTGCCATCGTTTTCGACTCGTCGTTGATTTAATCTCTATCGTTTATAGCTTCGCAACCCGTTCGGAGGCAGTAATATTAAATTCCGCACTC